CATAAATATCAGGATTTGTATTGCAGAGTACGTCTGGCTATGGATGGTTTATATTTTTATAATTAATAATTTTATATGTCAACTTACCTTTTCATAAAGTTTATTTATCACACTGAATCAGTAAAAAGACTAGAAGTTAATTTAAAAAAATAAAAAATTATTTTAAATGATAGTCTGATACTAGTTCATTGGATTGATATGGTTGTGAACTAATCACATTAAAAACTCTTTATCAATTTCTCCATTTTTACATGTTGTCGAATAAATGCATCAAAATTGATATGGTTAGCAATGTTACTAGCATGTAAGAGTAGGATACATTATTGAAATAAAGTTATTTTCCTTTTTCTAATAAAGTGAGAGGAGATTTATTAGTGGAAAATGGAGATTTTATTTAGAAGATCCGAAAGAAAAAAAAACTAAAAAGATATAAAAGACAGTGGAGAAGAAAACAAAAATAGCAAGAAAGCATAAGTTGCTTTGCTGCTGACACATGTGTCCCCGACATATAGTCACAGGTAGAGTCACTACAATGTAGGAAAAAAAATGATGAAAGAAAAACTAATTTATACAGATTAAGGTTACATCCTCTTAAAAAAAACAATTTGTATCAACCATTATAACATTTTCTTTCTTCTTTCGATTAAAAATTATTGTACATTTTTGTTTTAATTGTCAATTGTAGTTTTCGAATGAAGGACCAATAAACATAAAATAATCTGTTTATTAGTATACAAAATAAAATCAAATAGTTTCTCTTTTCTAGTGGTGGTTGAAAAGAAAGGGCCACTTGGGGACAAAATGGTACATTTTAGGAAAAAGTGAAATCGTTGGGGTTGAAAAAAAATAATTTGGTTTAAAAAAGTTTTTTATTGGGTGTTAATGGTAACAGATGAATTTTCCTGAATTATGGAATCTTGCAGAATTTTTGGTGAATACTTGTGGAAGCTGGCGGAATAACTTTATTTTCAAATGGTAACAATTGAATCTTGCAAAATTTTTGAAAAAAAATTTAATTAATTAAACTTATGAAATGTTAATTAAAATTGTGTTTGATAAAATTAAATATTTATCTTTATAAATGTATTAAAATTTACAAAAATATTATTTAGGTTTGGTTAAGTATTTTATATGTTTTTTTTTGTCAAACTATTTTATATTTTAGAGTTCATTTTTCAAGATTTTGGATTTGTTAGGGATAAAA